CACAGCACGTTAATTAGGAAATCCACGAAGACCATCATAGTTGGTGATTTTAACCTGCCGGAAATCGATTGGGAATACGCTGACGCGGCAGATAGTCTCTATGAAGAGGGGTTCCTAAGGTTTTTCCACAAGCAGGCAGTTTATCAACATGTTTGACAACCAAGTCGATTCAGATATGAGCAGAGATCGTCCATTTTAGATTTATTGCTTACCCGAGCGGAGAACGACGTCCGTGAGTTGACTATGGAAATCCCTACGGGTAAGAGCGATCATAGTTTAATCACGTTTAGGACGTGCATAACTCAGGTAAAGCCCCCTCCAAGTTCACCAGGAACTTCGGTCGAATAAATGTGTCTGGCCTACTCCAAGAGGCTAGTTCAACCATTTGGTGGGCGTCGAACCAAGATGCATCTGTCGAGGAGGAATGGGACTTACTTTGGAAACGCCTAGTAGAGCTCACTGACAGGTACGCGCCATTGCAGCCGAAGAGGAATTCTCAAGGCCTTTCGTGGTGGACAACTCCCATTAAGAAAGCGATAAATGGAGGGATTACACAAACTTTGGAGGGCTCTAGAGGTGGTTGGCCTACAAAATGGCCCGAAATTACGTAAACAAGCTTATGAAACGAGCAAAAATGAAACATGAACTAAGGATCGCCCAGCAAGCTAAATCCAATTCCAAAAGGTTCTACGTGTAGGTACAGTCGAAGGCTGCCCTCAGGCAAGCGGTAGGGGTCCTACGAAACAGCGCCGGAGAAGAAGTGTCGTCGGAGACAGAGAAGTGCGAGATACTCAAAAACATTTTTGAAAGCGTCTACAAAAAAGATGATGGTCGCAATTACCCCTCACATTTGCCACAGGTCCGAGTTCCTCTAATGAGCGATCTACAGATAGACACAGCTCAAGTTCTGAAGATACTCAGTGAGTTAAAGCCCAGCAAATCAGCGTGCAGTGATGGATTACATCCAGCGATCGTCAAGCCGCTCGCAGAGCTTTTGGCAGCTCCCGCGTGAGCATTTTACGAGAAATCCCTGAGGACTCGGTGAGATACCGAACGACTGGAAGATGGCGACAGTCGTGGCGATACATAAGGGGGGTGACCAAAAGGCGCCATGAAACTACAGGCCAGTGAGTCTCACTAGTATCCTCTGTAAAGGACTAGAGACAATAGAAACGGCATAGGGGAGCATGTTGCGCCTTACAACTTGTTATTCCCTACCCAGCATGGGTTCCTCAAAAATAGGTCATGTCTCAGCAACCTGTTGTGCTTCCTAGCTGAAGTCACATGGAAGCTAGACGAAGGTCAAAGAGTTGAAGTTTGTTACTTG